CCTCCCTTGGGCTGTGTATCCAGCCCTTTGAGTTTGCTAATATATTCTCACCCTGAAATACGGATCCTTTGGCTCTAAACCTGGGATATGTGATGTAAGTTTCTAGGGCTCTACCTGTTTTCCTTTAAATCTGTTTATCGAGTGTGTTCTAATATTGATGTTCTGCAATTGGGGTACCACAGGCCTAGTTTCAATTTTAGAGGAACCATTTATATTCTATGTAATGACAGAAAAGTTGTGTGGCCCTTTTAGAATTCAGAGAATAGTTATGTATGTGTATCAACTCTAACACTGTGTAGTTATTGACATTATAGAAACAAAGTTGAGAAACATGTAAATAATTTGGAGACTGGAAATAATAGATACTCAATAAGCAAGCATTAGTGTTAAATTTTGGCATGTAGAAGATAAGATAGGCTGCCCTTGGACCATGTTCACTGTCTCTATTACCCAAGACCTAATTCTAAGGTTCGTCCCTAGTGCTGCAAGAGAATAGTAGCTGCAGGTTCCTCTCCCTGTATGCAGATCTCCAATGAACCCTACAGACCATTCCCTATTGACATTCCCATCTTGACTAATTGTTGTTTTCAATCCCCCAACCTGGATGGACACCCCATGCTCAAACAGGCTACATCTGCCAGAAGACCAGGAGTGTGAGCTTTATTTTGACCTTCCTCAGTCTCTGTTACCCAATACCCAATTCTCAGGATTTCCCCTATAATACCCCTGAAACAAAACACCAGGGCCAGGCCCCTAACACCCTGTGGATCCCTGAGATAATCTTCTCTCTGACCTATCCTTCCCCCAGCTTCCAATATCAGCAAATATTCCCCCAGGAACACACCAGCTAAGCTGGCCATTTAAACAGGAAGCATTTAGCCAACCTACCTTCTGAAAATCCAGAGAGGAAACAGGAACAAGCCCCCCACACAACTAAGATAAACACAGAAAAGAGTACCTAAAACAATAGTTACCCCAGACCCAGATGCCTAGATGCCAACATAAGAATCAACTAAGCAGGGCTCATAGAGGTTCACAGGGACTGAAGTGACAATTCCTGTATGGGTCTGTTCTTGGTTCTCTGCATATATGTGATGGCTGTGTAGCTTGGGTCTTCTTATGGGATTCCTAACAGTGTGAGTGTGGGTTGTCTCCAAAACCTTTGCCTGCTTTTGGGACCTTTTTCCTCATACTGGGTTGTGTCATGCAGTCTTGATATGAGGATATGCATCTAGTCTTACTGTAACTTGTTATTCCTCGTTCAGCTGATATCTTTTGGAGGCCTACTCTTTTCTTAAGGGAAGAATGGGTGTGGTGGAAAGGGAAGGTGGTGACATAGGGACTGGGTGGAATGGACAGAGGGAAAATGCTTTTGAAGTATAATATACGAGAGAATAAAAAAGAACAAAAGTAACAGAAGATAAATATGTCACCATCATAGTCCAGCTATCCTAGCACAGCAGATCAGTAATAATCCAACACAGAAGAAGAACAAGTAAAAGATCTTTAAACCAACTACAGGGAGATTATAGAGGTCCTTAAAGAGGAAATTAATAAATCCCCTCATGAAACCAAAGAAAACACAAACAATTGGAGGTAATCGGGGGAAAAAACCCTGAAAGCAAGAAGGGAAAATGCAAACAAACAATTGAAGGAAACAAATAAAACTGTGAAGACCTGAAAATAGAAACAGAAGTAAAAAAGAAAATTCAGGGTATCCTGAAAGTGAGAAATCCAGGGATTTGAATGGAAACTACAGAGGCAAGCTTCACCAACAGAATACAAGAGATGGAAGACAGAATCTTAGGTATTGAAGATATAATAAAAGAAACGCATATATTTTTCAAAGAAATGTTAAATATATAAAGTTCCTGACACAACACACTCAGAAAATCTGTGACACTAAGAAAACACCAAACCTATGAATAATATGAATAGAGGAAAGATCAGAATCCCAGTTCAAAGCCTAGAAAATGTTTCCAACAAAATCATAGAAGAAAAATTTCCTAACATAAAGTAAGAGATGCCTACAAAAATAGAAGAAGAGTATGTTCTCTCCAATAGATTGGAACAGAAAAGAAATCCTCCTTATTACACAATAATCAAAATAATAAAAATACAGAAAAGATTAGAACGTTGAAAGTTGATAAGGAAGAAGATTAAGTTATTATAAAGAAAGACATGTTAGAGTAACATTTGACTTCTCAGTAGAGACTCTAAAAGTCAGAAGAGCTTGGGATTACTATACCTAGCAACACTTTCAATCACCATAAATGAAGAAACTCAAATATTCCATGATAATGTCAAACTTAAAAAATATCTATCTACAAATCCAGCTCTCCAGAAGGTGCTAGAAGGAAAAATCCAAATCAAGGAGGTTAATTACACACATGAACACACAGGGAAATAAATAAACTCACTTCAGCAAAACAAAAAGAGTGAAACACACACACATAAACTCTGTCTCTGTCTCTGTCTCTCTCTCTCTCTTATACACGCACACACACACACACTCTCTCTCTCTCTCTTACACACATACACACATACATACACTCTGTCTCTCTCTCTCTTACACACACACACATACACTCTGTCTCTCTCTTACACAAACACACATACACTCTGTCTCTCTCTCTCTTACACACACACACATACACTCTGTCTCTGTCTCTGTCTCTCTCTTATACACACACACACACACAGACACACACTTTCTATCATCATCACCACCAACAACAATAATGAAATATAACAGTCACAGTTCATCATATTTTTCAATACTAATGTCCTTAATTCCTCAATAAAAATACACAGATTAACAAAATGGATAAAAAACAAACAAACAAAAGACCCAACAACAACAAAAACAAAACAAAAAGAAAACAGGACCCATCCATCCTTATTGCTGCATATAAGAAACATACCTCAAGATCAAAGATAGTTATTTCTTCAGGGTAAAGGTTGAAGAAAGAGATTCCAAGCAAATGGACCTAAGAAGCAAACTGGTGTATTCATCAAAAGAGATAGGAAGGTCACTGCATGTTCATCAAAAGAAAACTCCATGAAGATGATATTTTGTTTCCTAACATTTATGCCCCAATGAAAACACAGTTTCTATTCTGCCTGGTACCTCAGCTTATTTGCAGCAAATAAACACAGAGAGACTTTTATTAATTAGAAACTGTTTGGCCAATGACTCCGGCTTCTTATTGGCAAGCTCTTTCTTAATTATTAACTCAATTCTATTAAACTGTATTTCTACAAGGCTGTGGCTTATCTGTAATCTGGAATGCTACACCTTCAGCAGCATGGCATCTCTCTCTCTCTCTCTTGGCTTCTCTCTCCTCCCTCTCCCCAGAATCCTCCTTATCTGGTAGACAATCCTATAATTACTGCCCGGCTGCTGACCAATCAGTGTTTTATTCATCAATCAATAAAAGAAACGTATATAGAGAGTATATCCCCCATCAAAACACAAGGGCACCCACATTTATAAAAGAAACACTACTATAAGTTAAGTCACATTTGATCCTCACGCACTGATAGTGGAAGACTTCAATACCCCACTCTCAACAATGGAAAGGTCCTCAGAACAATACTAAACAGACAAAAAGTTGGAGTTGACATTATAAACAAAATGAACATAGAAGGTATTTATAGAATATTCCATGTAACTACAAAAGAATATACCTTCTTCTTAGCACCTCACTGAACTTTCTCCAAATAACAGAAAGCTTACAAACTTTTGTAAGCTGAAAAAAACTCTCATGACTGAAAAATGGATCAACACAAAGGAAGAAATACTTTTGATAATTTAATGAAAATGAATACACAACATTCCTAAACTTAGGGAGCAAAATGGAAGCAGTGCTAAGATATTAGTTCATAGCAATAAATGTTGTGCATTCCTTTAAAAAATTGGAGAGGTCCCATATTAGCAAATAAATAGCATACCTGAAACCTCTAGAACAAAGAGATATGAGCATACCCCAGAGGAGCAGACATCAAGAAATTATCAATTTGAGTCAATAAAATGGACACAAAGAGAACAATGAAGAAATTCAGTAAAACAAAGAGTTGGTCCGTTGAGAAAATCAGCAAGATAGACAAACCCTAGTCTAAACTTACTAAAAGACAGAAAGAAAATGTTCAAATTAATAAAAATCAGAAATGAAATGGGGCTACAACAACAAACACCCAGGAAATACAGAGAATCATAAGAATATATTAAAAAAGTATATTCAAGTAAATTTGAAAATCTAAAAGTAACAATTTTCTCCATAGGTATTCCTTACCAACGTTAAATGAAGAATAGATAAACAAACTGATCCTACAACCATTAAGGAAATAAAAAACGATCATTAAAACTCTTCTAACACAACAGCAATAAAAATTCAGGGCCAGAATGTTTTATCACAGAGTTCTACCCTAATTTCAAAGAGGAGTTAATGTTGAAACTCCTCAAATTATTCAGCAAAATAGAAATAGAAGGAACATTTCCAATTAATTTTATAAAGCCACAGTTACTCAGAAAGACAAACCATGTAAAAACTAATTTTCCTTATGAACATGGATGCAAAAAACTCAATAAAATACCTACAAACCCAATCCTTTATAATGAAAATTTGGATTTAATCTAGGAAGAGTTGTACATGTTGAAAATATACACAAGAATGTAGTATTTATTTCTCAATTGCTTATCCATGTTTGGGGACCCCCATGTTTCACATAACTACAAAAGTCAAAATCTCACTGAAGAAAAGTAAAAAATAACAGTTTAAACAAAAGGTCATGATGAAATTACCTGTCCCCTCCTGAAGTGACTAATAAGGTTATTACGTGACACTAGACAATGCAAGCACTCCTGCATATTCGTTCCTTTTTACAGAGAGTGACGAACGGGGTGCTGGAAAAAGGCAGGATATTTCCACGGCTGTGTTACCAGCTACATCCTCACACACCCTCCCCAGAGCCCACTGACCTCTGTGTTTGTTTGACAGGTACTGTCTCAAGTCACCCTATTTCTGAGGGTCTTCTTTATTATCCTGACCTTGACATCCATTGGTTTCCTTCTGGATCAAAGGCAAGGCATGAATTTCTTTTCTTATTTCTTACTTCCTACAAAAGAGGAATTTCCCACCCTACTAAGAGACACCAGTGTAAGATGGACATTCGTAGTTTAGTTTTGAAACCTTAGTGTTGAATACCGTTCTCTCAAATGGGTTAACTATATCAGTTTCCTCCTCCTAAACCATCAAAAGACACTGGGCTAATGAGGAGAACCTCATATGCCTTGCGTTTTAGATGTCTAGTTGTTGAATATTCTATTGTTTCATCATAGCTCATCACTGCTTTAACTACACAAGTTGACAAAAATGTTTTTTAATAGGTATATTTTGTTTCCTAAATAAGGTTATGTTCAAAGTACTTCAGAGACAAACCTCTAAACTGTGTAAGAACATTTTGCCTTTCCTGAAAATCAAGAGTAAATGGCATTGCTATGTTAATTATGACATAAGCACATGGATACTTAAGTAAAGCTAATCGATATTAATTCATGTTTTTTTTTCAGACCTATGGCAGCCATTGTGGAAACGCTCCGTTGCCTGATATTCCTAACCCTGCACAGATTTGGTCACTTAAAGTCTCTTATTCCATCTTTATCATTTCCATTTGAGGTAAGACATTTGATGTAGGTAGCTGAACTATTTAATTCACTCATTCAATGATATTTTCTCTCTACTGAATTTGTGACCAGTATTTGTACCTAAGATTTTTTTCTATGCAACATATGTTGAATTATTATGTGTATAACCTTCAAATAGTTAATGTTGCTGTGTCCATGTGTTCTTATCTCAAAATTTTGGGTGATATCATTAAATCACAGAAACTAAGAAAAATACATTGCAGAGCATTTTGAAGAAAAACAGGGTACATTGTAGATCCTCAAGAAATTAATGGTAAGTATAACTTTACAAGAAGAGCCGGGCGGTGGTGGTGCACGCCTTTAATCCCAGCACTCGGGAGGCAGAGGCAGGTGGATTTCTGTGAGTTCGAGGTCAGGCTGGACTGACAGCCTCCAAAACATTACAGAGAAACCCTGTCTCATAAAACCAAAAAAAAAAAAAAAACACTTACAAGAAGATCACTGCCATTGGAAATGAAAGCATTTTAAATACTTGAAAGTCACCTATAACAGAAATAATTATATGTAAATGGAAATTTTAAGTCAATGAGGTTGCTAAAATTAAATATATGTTTTGATATGATATCTGATGATTAAGATCGTTCTTCCCAAGATTCCTCAGAACTGTTGGGGTGTCTATTGCTTTCTCACCCAGGAAATGCCTAAAAAGCTTTCCCCATGCCTTATGTATATTAGAGTTTTTTCAAGTTTTTCGGTTTCATTCCTGAACAGTATGTCAATATTATGAGGCTACACAACATGGCAGCTAATTTAAGTGGAACTGTAAATGCTAGCATTCCTGTTCTTAAAGGACAAAGAGTAGTTGTTTGTTTTCTGTCACTGTGATAAAACAGTGACCCAAAATAGATTGTTCAGAGAAGAGGTCACTTCATTTTATGTTTCTAGATTACTGTTCACCACTATGGGAAGTTAGAGCAGGAGCTGAGGCAGTCCTGATACAGAAATCAGATTCCATGCAGCAATACTTCTTCCTGCTTGCTTCCTGGGGCTTACTCAGCTACCTCTCTTATGTATCTCAGGTCCCAGAACCCACATGGAGCTAAGCCCTCCTACATCAGTTAGGAGACTACCTCAGAGACATGTTGACATTTCTTTAATTGGGTCTTCATCTTTTCAAATCTATCAAATTGACAACCAAAATTAGGTACCACATAAGCTAGTTTATTTATTTTATTTATTTATTTATTTATTTTTGGTTTTTTCGAGACAGGGTTTCTCTGTATTGTTTTGGAGGCTGCCGGTCCAGCTAGGCCTCGAACTCACAGAGATCCGCCTGCCTCTGCCTCCCGAGTGCTGGGATTAAAGGTGTGCGCCACCACCACCTGGCCATAAGCTAGTTTATAAAGACATATTTTGCAGTGATTCTAAGTTTGATAAATTTATTTGAAAACAGTTTGCCATTAGTAACATGTAGTCTTCCCACCAGCAGCCTGCATCCTGCAGCTGTCTCAGGCCCCAAATAACACAGGAAGTACTAATATTAATTATGAAGCTATTGGCCATTTGTTTGGTTTCTTATCGGCTAGCTATGACTTAATTATGAACCCATAATTACCAATATATGTTTCTATAAGGACTTATCTTTCTGAGGACTCCCTCCTGACATCTGACATGCCCTTTCCCCAGGGAGATCACATGACAACCCTCACTCTTGACTATATTTCTAGAATCTTCCTGGACTCCTAGTCCTGTCCCACCTATCTTGGTTCCCTGTTGGCCAACAGTGCTTTATTTATACCAATCAGACAAACATATACACAGAAGGACTTGCCCCATCAACCATTCCACAGACACATCCATTTTTTACCAAGAATTTCACTATGTTAATTTATACTACAGGAATTATATGCTCACATGCATGGACTGATGTATATGTAATGTACCTGATGGTGTCACCGATAATGGTACAAAACTGAGAACTTTCTAATGCCACAGACAGGTGACAGTTTAACAAGTATGTCATATTCATAAAATAAAATCAGTATTTAGAATATAAAACCAGGAAACAAGCTAGGATACATATGGATCAGTCTCAAAATTATAAATTATTTGAAGTATATAATGCTATGATGGCTGTAGCTCTATAAATACAGGCAGTAGGAGATTTCACATATGTGAGTTAATGCATTTTATTGAGTGTTTTTAATATACTTTAGGAAACAAAGGAGAGCATAACAAATAGATTACTGTGGAAAAGCAAGTTTAATCATTTGTGTAGAAGGCAGAAAAGGATAACTTTATAAAATTGAATTTTTCTTTAGTACCTTCAAAGTTTTTGAGCCATCAAAATATATTTTGTATTTTTAAATAATATGAATTTCAACAGTGAAGCATAAAATTTTGATATCAAAATTGTGTGTCATGATCTTCACAGCTTTGAACTTGGCCTGATTGGAGCAATAAGGGAATAAAGAAAGGAGAGACACATAGAAAAGATGTAATGTACTCTTATGGAGATAAGCCACCAGCCTGGAAGCTTGGCACATTTATTATCCATTGCTAACCAAGGAGAAGGGTTTAATGTTTGTAGATAAATGAGGAGAAAAATAGGCTAGCTACTATTGTTAGGGGTTCTTTATAAGAGACAAGTTCCCAACAAAGTCATCCTGGATGAGGCAGATGTGGTTTACAGTTTCTGCAAATGTTGGTTTTAGCAAAATGTCAGTTGTTCATAAAACCGAATACTTGCAAACTCTAGGCTTTGCTGTTCCTCTGATGCTGACTAGGGAAGGCCTTGTCATCCCCATGAGTCTGAGCCATTGGAGGTCCCTGACATGACATCTTTTATGTCACCAGCACACATTCACTAAAAACTTCACCCACTTTCTACAACCTTAGGTATCCACATTATATTTAAGTGGTACCACGTCTCACATATTTACATAGCATGTAAGAGTGTTTTATTCATATTATAATCTGGAAGCACAAATTAACCTTCTCGTTGAAATTCAGACATATATGGCAGGGAAAGCCTAAAATCAAATGAGATAGAATCTTCACATTCCAAATAAGGGATGCATCCCAATTTAAAGCAAGAAATGTTAAAATCCTTCTTATATACCTACTGTCACGTATATTGTGGGAGCTAAACTTAAGTGCTCTGTAAGCAAATAGTTCTTTATGTAAGTATTGTTTCCTGCATTGGATTATATGATTACAAAAACACATCATATTGGAGGTTAAGATGGGATGGTACGGGGCAGAACATTGTGTTCACCTTTTGAGACTGATGAAGTACCGAGGTGATATGCTTAGTGTACTAGTTAACACATTGAAGTTGCTAGTTAAGATTTGAACTCTGATTCCCCATTGCTTGGGTTTGACTCCTGTCTTGATAACTTCTTTAGTGTGGAGTATTGGATAGTTATTTGGTCACTTAAATATTTGGCCTTATCTTTCTCACCTGTTAAAGGAAGAAGTAATATTTATTTTCTACTAAATATTGATGATTACATAAGAAAATAGTACATATGATGTTAGTCATGATAATTAACAGATAGTAAATGTTCAATGTTATTATTGTTGTTAGTAGCTTAGTTATTTATATGAATACACAGAACCCAGATATAATTCATTTGTGCTCTACCTCAAGAGCCACAGCCAATTATAGCCTAATGTTACAGATGGGAAGGGAAGTAATAAAATGGAACTAAATTTCCCAGGTCTGTGTCCCTTGACTGACACTCATACTCACATTAGACTTTAGGCCTAGGATACTCACCCTTAAAATGGTATTAAAAGAGGTATATATTTATAACTCTCACAATGTTTTAACTATGCTATTCGAAATTTTCTGTTTGACTTTCACACCAACCCAGGATATGATTTCATTCTTTTTGCTATGGTTAATCTTTTCAACTCAATTGGGTGTAGAGTCACTGTGGAAACACATCTCTGGATACATCTTTGAGGGTATTTCTAAATTGGGCTTATTAGAGTAGAAAGGTGTCTCTTTTGAGTGTGAGAAACATCGATTCATAGACTGGCTAGGTGGAGTCAATCAAACTGAGAAAGGGAGCCCAGTATCATCATTTCTCTCTCTCTGCTTCCAGACTGTGAACGCAATGTGAACAATGTCTCACACTCTTGCCATCAGACTTTCCCTTTTGGGATAGATACTACCTTCAAACTGTGAACCAAAATAAACCCTTCCTTTCTTTTATGATTTTTAAAAGATATTTTATATGTATGAGGATGGTACCTGCATGCTTGTAAATGAAGTGACATGTGTGTAAAACTGTGCTTAGATTCCAGGAGAGGGCTTTGGATTGCTTGGAACTGGAGCTACCTGTTATTGTGAGCCAATCCAAGTGAATGCTGGGAATTAAACCTAAGTACTAGGAAAGATCAGCTGTTACACTCTGTGTCATCATGTGAACTTCAAACCTTTCCTTTTTTTTAAGTTTTCCTTTGTTTCAGGTATTTTGTCTTAAAACTGCATAAAGTTAATGATGCAATTTTGTAATAATAAATTCATAGGGTGTGGGACATGTTGGCACATACCGGGAATCCCAGTACTAGAGGATATTTTGAAAAGTGGTGGGGGGGGGTTACAAGTTTCGAACTAACCTGGGCTACAATATAAAATAATTTCAATATCAACACAGAAAATTAAGGGGAAAATCACTTATTATAATGTAAATGGCAAAGTTATAAGAAAATACGTAAAGATACAAACTAAAGAAATTCTAGTCCACTATACAGGATAGTTGTGAAAATTTTTATAGAGGGACAGTAGTGGTACACGCCTTTAATTCCAGCACTTGGTAGGCAGATCTTTGTGAATTTGAGGCCAGCCTGGTCCAATACAGAGCTAGTTCCAGGACATCCAGGATTACACAAAGAAACCCTGTCTTGAAAAACAAAAACAAAAGAAAAAGGAAAAGGGAGAAAAAAATAAAAATTTTCTTGCATTAATTAGAGCAATGCTTAAGTAGCTCATTGGCTTCTGTTGAGATACAATACAGCAAC